CTGATGATTGTTTTTCACGTACAACAGTTGCATGGCCCCATGGCTGTGTGATCAAAATGCAGACGCTTGGCAACTGGCATGTACTTATGATGGTTGCAGCGTCCCGGGGTCATGGGGTCCCCTTTTGCCACTGTTCTGACCAAGGCTTCCTAAACTGTAATTACGCACATGCTTATTTTAAAAACAAGACTTGTTTTATTGCAACGCTGGGAATTATTTTCATTTCCAGCCGGTAATGAATCTCAAACAGTCCCCCGAGATAAGCACCCACCTTTCTTTTCTGTGAAGTGCTGCCAATAACAGAAGTGTCCAATGAACTAGGAAAAAAAAAAACCAACCGAAGTACAAAGAGCTTCAAGAATGAGTCTGAACTGAACAAATGACTTTGCCTCCTGCAAAGGTTTCTTCACCTTTGCCTGTCCTTTATACCTGATGGGAGGGGCAATCACTTCCCAGTCTTACTCCCAAGTTGCCTTTTTGTTTCAGCTGCTCTCGCTTTCTGGCAGCTCTGCGCACACGCGCACTGGGAACAGGTTCCCCTTATTCCTCTTCCTTGCTACTGTCAGTTCTGGAGGCTCTGGAGTCAGCACCCCACTCCCAGATGGCCCTGGCCCTATCTCTGCATCGGATGCAGGACCCTCGTTCGAGTCCTCTCCAGATTCCCTGACTGGTCCCCTTTCTTCCCCACTGTCCAATTCCGCTGCTGTCTGCACAGGCGGCCAGCAATCCACAGCACTGCCACCTTCTGACAAGCAAAGTCAATAGGGAAGCCCGATTTGCTTAGCAACTGTGTTAACAACTGAACAGCTGCAGTGATTCACTTAATAGCAAGAAAGCTCTTAAAATGGGACAGCATTCACTCAACAACGGTCTCACTTAACAGTGGAAATTTGGGCTCGTTTGTGGTCGTAAATCAAGGACTCCCTGTATTTATTGAAAACATTCATATAGCTGCCCATCTTAAAACCCTGTCTGCCTTTGCACCCCTCTTCTAGCTTAAGTGCATGGAGTTTACTCGCTTTTTAATATGTTCAATAACTGAAATGTAATTTCAAGAAACAACATGTGTGACTCATAACGAGCATAGAAAATTCATTGTTGGGTTAGGCGCATAAAAACCCACCCAACTATGGAATCATGGAATTATTTCAGGATGCGGTTCCAAAGCACTTTACATTTGGGGGGGGGGAAGAGCTCCTAGAGCAGCAGATCCTGGAGAGATCCACAGATCCTGTACAGGAGCCTGTATAGTCTTTTCTCCGGTAATATCACACTACTAACAAGAGCATACAAAACATTTGCTAGACCAATACTCGAATACAGCTCATCAGTCTGGAATCCACATTATGTATCTGATATTAACACAGTTGACAAAGTCCAGAAATATTTCACAAGAAGAGTTCTCCACTCCTCTCCTCGTTGCAGAATACCTTATGCCACCAGACTTGAAATTCTAGACCTAGAAAACCTAGAACTACGCCGCCTTCAGTCCGATCTTAGTATATAAAATCATACATTGCAATGTCCTGTCAATGAATACTTCAGATTCAACCATAACGATACAAGAGCAAACAATAGATACAAACTCAAGGTTAACCGCACCAAAGTTGATTGCAGGAAATATGACTTCAGTAACAGAGTGTCTGGAATACTCTACCTGACTCTGTGGTTTCTTCCCCGAACCCCCAAAACTGTAACCTTAGACTGTCTACTATTGATGTCACCCCTTTCCTAAGAGGTCTGTAGGGGGCGTGCATAAGCGCACCAACATTCAATCACGCAGAGAGATTCCCTTAAGAGATTCTGGCTATGAGCAAACTGGGATTTCCTGCAGCCTCTCCCGTAGTCCTCCAATTACAACCCCCATTGTAATTTCCGTTGCTATGCAGGAGAGATTTTTAAATTGAATTTTGCCCCATTTTATGACTCCTCTTGCCACGCTTGTTAAGTAGCGTGGTTGTTAAGTGAACCTTGGCTTCCCCCATCGATTTTGCTGGTTAGAAGGTTGTAAAAGATGATCACACAACCCTCAAACCCTCGATCGTCATAAATACATGCCAGTGGCCAAGCTGATTTTGGTCAGGTGACAATGGGGATGCTGCATCAGTCACTAGTGTGAAAAAAACGGCCAGAACTCCATTTTCTGAACTTTGGTCACTAAATGAATGGTTGTAAGTCGAGGACTACATGTCCCACTTCCAAAGTTGCTTCATGGTCTGGAGATCCGCCAGGATCGCCTTCATTATGTGATGTCACCGGGGTGGGAGGTTGTTATTTTATTGTTTTTCTTTTTGTTATTTTCTATTTTCTATGAGGTTTTTTTATATCTGCGAAAGCCGCCTTGAGTCACCGTATTTATTTCCCAAAATAAATAAAAATAAATCGTGCAACATTCCCGGGCAGCCTAACAGGTGCGCTGAAGTCAACCCTGCTGAATTTGACTAGGTTTCCTCCAGTTTTGAAATGCAGTATCCTGTCTGCGCATTTGTGCTGAGGATGCCACCGATCAATATTTGTGTGGGATCTCCATTGTCTCAGGGATCCAACCATTTAAACGTTAAGTCCGGGGAGAGAAATTGTGACAGAAGTCTAGGGAAGAGAAGGACCAGGGGGGGAGACAGGATAGCAGTGCTCCAATATTTGAAGGGGCTGCCAGAGGGAGGGAGGGGTCAAGCTATTTTCTAAAGCGCTTGTAGGACAGACAAGGAATAATCGATGGAAACTGATCAAGGAAGAGATTCAACCTGGAAATAAGGAGTAATTTTCTGTCAGAATAGAACAAGGGTCTTCAAATTTGGTAAGTTTTAAGGCTTGCGGACTTCAACTCCCAAAATTCCTGAGCTAACCTGACTGGAGGAGGAATTCTGGGAGTTGAAGTCCATAAGTCTTAAAGCTGTCAAGTTTGAAGATCCCTGGAAAAGAATAATCCACCCATGGAACAGAAGTTCTCTTCAGAAGTTGTGGGGGTGACATTACTTGAGATCTTCAAGAAGAGATTGGACTGCCGTTTGTCAGAAATGGTGTAGTCTCTCGTTTTTTGGGGGGGGGGGGGGGGGTTGGACTAGATGACCTACAAGATCCCTTCCAACTCTGTCTCTGCAGGCCCCGAGGGTGGAAAACCGATCCAGAAGTGCCGCGAATGACCCACACACACTCACCAGCGCGCTACCTAAAAACTTCTGAAACGGGTTTTTTTTTGGGGGGGAGGGGGTTCAGCGTTGCGCGATCCAGAGCTGGCACCGCGCAGAAGCGCCTGGCCTGCGCACGTGCCACAGGGGCGAAAGGCAGCTTGCCAAAGGGCGGCGAGTCGGCAAGGTCGCTCTTACGTCCGGCTTCCCCAAGTGGTCGCAAGCAAAGAGCACCCCTTGACCTGACCGTCGCTGCCATAAGCCGGCGCCCCGTTCCCAAACGGGGGCTGTGAGGAAGGCCCATTGCGCGCTAGCCGGCTTTCCTCACCCCCCGCCCCGCCCGAACACCTGGCCGGCCAGGTGTCCTTAATGAGGTCCATTCCGTCCCTCGGGCGCCTCCTGGCTGCGGGGGGGCCGTCGCATCTCGCGGACTTCCCGGAGCCTGCTCCGCGCACGCGGGTCTTGCGCTGGGACGGGATGGCGATGGACGGGCGCGCCGCGCAGGATCAGTTCCCTCAGCGAGATGCGGGTAACGCGGAGGGCCCCGGGGCCCCCTATGTCCCTCTCTCTCTCTCTCTCTCCCTCTCCCCAAAGGGCCCTTGAAACACCCCCTCCCTGCGCCCGTCCCGTTAGGAAAAGGAGACGCGACACGCTTTTACTTATAGAATAACAAAGAGTTGGAAGGAACCCTGGAGGTCATCTAGTACAACCCCTGCTTTGGCTAAGAAGAACGCTCCGTGCGCCCCACAGCAATAGCGTGGGAAAGGTCTCTGCTTTGCAACGGGAAGGCTCTTGGGAAAAGGGTGGGGTACAGTACCCCCCACGAAGAGCACACACACAGAGAGAGAGAGAGAGAGAGAGAGAAGCAAGGATCCGGGTGGGGTTGGCTTGCCTTGGGGTGGGGTGGGTTTTCCTGCCTTGTGGGAACCCCCTCCCTGTGCCTTCCTTCGTGAAGAATGAAATTGCAAGCATAACCTGAAAGGACTCCCGGACCAAAATGCATCGTGGCTTGTTTGGGATTAAGCCCAGCCGCAGTTTAAGTGTGATGCGGGAAGCCTCAGTTCTGGGAAAAGGAGCCTTGGATATCCTAGGTTGCAAGAACCAAAGCTTTTCATTTCTTTTCAAGGGAATAAACCAGAACAGGGGATCCCAACCCTTGGGGGAGTGCGAGACAATATTCCAGGGGGTGCAAAAACTTGGGTTTAGAAGTTTCAAAATGATAGTGTATATGTATATAATGATAATGTGCAACAATGGGCATATAATTATTTTTTTAAAGGGGTGCAAGAATACATCAGAAGTGTTCTAGGGGAGGGAATTGTGGGGATTTTGAGATATAATCCCTGGATTGACTGAATTTTGTTATATTTGGGAGATTGAAAGTATGGTGGGGGAAAATGAGTAATTTTTAAAATATTAAATATAAGTGACTTAATAGGACAGGGGTCCCCAAATTTGGCAACTTTAACGCTCCCAGAAGTCCACAAGTCTTAAAGTTGCCAAGTTTGAAGACCTCTGTAATAGGGGATAATAAATATATGGTGAAAAGAAATGTTATTTATGTTTAAATGAATGAATGGGAAAAAAATAAGAAAGGATTATAAAGAGAGAATGGTATTGTCGGAGTTGGAAGATTAGGATGATATATACTTATTTGTATTATCATTGTTAGCATTGCTTAAAAAGGGCGTTGACCCAGTCAATGCGCCGTCCACAAAATATGTATGCTGTGAAAGGAAAACTGGAAATATAACATGAATTAATAAAAGAAGAAGAAGAAGCATTCTAAGGGGTGCAAGTTATAGAAAAGGCTGAATAGCACTTAAAACTTATATATACTGCTTCACTGTGTTTTACGGTGCTTTTTAAGCGGTTTGCAGACTGCTAACAACCTGGGTTCTCATCCAGTTGGCTGGCCAGGAAAAAAAATGTAGTCATTGTATCAAGCTTTCTGTGACTTGTGTTCCCTAAAGTTGCATTTTCTCAGTTTTTCCCCTTGAATTGCTTCGGTCCTTCTGCAAATTTCCCTTCTTTCAAGGAAGCATAGGCCTCTGACATTTGGAGTCCTGCAAACCACGGTTTCAAGCTTAAGGGTGTCTCTCCAAGAATGTGCTGGTGGACAATGTGCATTTGACCCCGATTATTTTTTTTAAAAAAAATGTCAACAGGAGAGCTGCATCCAGGTAGCCCAAGCTCCCATTCCTGCTTTACAGGTGACACCTATAAGCAATAGCAATAGCCCTTAGACTTACATACTGCTTGATAGTGCTTTACAGCCCCTCTGTAAGAGGTTTTACAGAGTCAGCCTATTGCCCCCAACAATCTGGGTCCCATTTTTTACCCACCTTGGAAGGATGGAAGGCTGAGTCAACCTTGAGCTGGTCAGGATCCTGGCAGTGGGCAGAGTATCCTGCAATACTCACTGCAGCACCAGGAAGGAGAATGAGAAAGGGAAGGGAAGGGAAGGGAAGGGAAGGAAGGAAGGAAGGAAGGAAGGAAGGAAGGAAGGAAGGGCAGTAGCAGAGTTATATACCGCTTCACAGTGCTTTACAGCCCTCTTTAAGCAGTTTATAGAGTCAGCCTATTGCCCCCAGCAATCTGGGTCCTCATTTTTTACCCACTTTGGAAGGATGGAAGGCTGAGTCAACCCTGAGCCTCTCCATGTGGGCCTTGTACTTACCTGGCATCCAAAATGGGCCAAGTGGAGACTCCTGGGAGGGCAGGATGGGGTGGGCGGGGCCAGCCAGGGGTGGGATTTGCTGGTTCGCCGAACTATGCAGAATCTTAGCTAAACCCATACGAACCCATAGCAGGCCACCCATGATTTGCATCATCAAAGAAAAACTCTGAGAACTTCTAGGGTGTCAACTCACAAAATATTTCTATGGTCTTTTTAGAGGTGCCATCAGAAAGGGAGGTGGGAGCAGTGGGTAGCTTGCATTCCGTAAATGTTTTCGAAGATAGTTTCTAGGTGACCGAAGTTTCTGCCGTGCAAAATTCTAACTGGAGAGCATGATTGAGGATTCTTGGCTATGGATGTGTCCCATTGGAGGATATGAATTATAATACACCCAGGGGGTGGGGGGGAAACCAAGGTGTCAGCCTTCAAGATCTTCTATTACTGCTTTGCATCTTTTGGCTGCCATAAGTAACGGGGGGGGGGGGGGGGGGGGGGGGGGGGGGGGGGGGG